TGGACACACACACAAAAATAAATAAATTAAATAAATAAATAAATAAAATAAAAAATAAAAAAAAAAGAATAAACTTTTTTGGGCCTAGGAGATTGCTCAGTAGAATAAGCGCTTGCTTGGCAAGTGCAGGGTGCTGAGTTCAATCCCTGGTAGTGAAAAGAAAAACCAAAAACCAAAACAAAACATTTTTTGCTAAGCAAAATGCCCATAAACATTAGAGTAGAAAAATTTAAGAACAAACAAAATTTAAAAATTAACCAGATATGTTTATCAATAAAACTTTGAAAAGAAAAAAAAATTAACCAGATAAAATTGTAGCTTATTCTTTTCTCACATGGCAAACTCTTCACTCAGCCCCGCTTGCCGTGCCTTTCTAGACCCTATGGAAACTGGCCTTTGGCACTCCCTAACAAAGAGTGCCTAGATACCTGGAAGTGGCCACAAATCCTTAGTTTTTGTTTTTAGATAACTTTTTTTTTGAAAGAACAAATTAAACATTAGAAAGAAACTGTTATAACTCTACCAGGTTTTTGGTTTTTTTTTTTTTTTTTTTGAGACAGGGTTCAGGCTGCCTTGAATTCACAATAGCCTCAAAAAAATTACTTAGGAAGCTGGAGAGATAGCTCGGCAGTTGCCTGCCTGGCAAGCTCAAGAACCCAGGTTTGATCCCTGGTACCTCATGCCAGCCCCCGGAAACCAGGCATGATGGCATACACCTGTAATTCCAGCACTGGGGAGGCTGAGACAGGAGGATCACTGTGAGTCTGAACTGCATAGTAAGACCTGTACCAAATAAATAAATAAATAATTTATTTATTTATTGCATTTTAGAGAAGGTTCTATAGGATGTTCAGGGTCTCACTACTAGATTGGACTCGTAGTGATTCTCCTGTTTACAGTCTCCAAGAGCTGGGATTACAGGCATGTGCCACCATGCCCAGTTTCAATTGCTGTTTCAGCGCACCCTGGGGGCAGGGCTGGCACAGCAAGCCCCTGGATTAACCCCTCCCCCCTTGCCCCCCCCCCCGTACCTGCTTACAGGTGCTATTGATCTATTAATCTGCTG